TATATTTAGTTACTGCAAACTGAGTTCTGGTACTGCACTTAGTAGGTACAGTTTAAGACTCTCTCCCCACTTAATTTTTATAACTATTTAAACTAGCATTCTATCACAAACCAGAAAAGTCCTATTGATTTCTGTATTTTCAAGACTGATGAAATGCAGCCTTGCTTGCTTTAAGTGGTTTGAGAATGGCACTAAAAAAGAAACATATATGTTCAGTGCAGTGTGATATTATTGCAGTTTAGCACAATCCAGAATCCTGTGCATTACTCCGTCCTACCAATGAAAGATCCTCCATCAAGTAAACCTTGGTGAAAGATAATACAAAGTCTTCAGAACTAAGGGGGGTTGCAGACTGCCAGAAATAGAGCAAATTGAGTCCACTTTAAGGGTTAGGGTTAGGGAATCATGGGGACTGTAGTTTATTGTGGCACCAGAGCTCTCTGACAGAGAAGGCTCAATGTCCCAGAAAAAAAAAATCCCCATGATTCCCTAGCACTAACCCTAACCCTAAAAGTGAACTCAATTTGCACTATTTCTGGCAGTCTGAAACTCCCCTAAGAGTCAAGAGAAAAGACATCCACTATAGAGGATATCTAGATGTCAAACCCATCTAGATGTCAAATGCATGTGATTACATTGCAGTAAACAGTGGTCCCCAAATGGTGCTCTTTAAAAGATTTTGGACTTCAGCTCCCAGAAGCCTCAGTCATGTTGGCCAATAGTCTGGGCTTCTGGGAGCTGAAGTCCAAAATCTCCTAAAGAGCACAGTTTGGGGACCACTTCAGTAGAGGGTTCTCCAGTGGACAGTTTACATAGATATTAAGAAAAAAAGAAGCCTTTTGCAATGTTATTGCTGTAGCAAATGAGTGAGAAGTGATGAGCCAGTCACTTGAATATACATGGGCAGGCAAGGAACCTATTTGTGGGACTGCTCAAGGAATCATGACTAGATTCAGTTGCTAGATTCATATTCTACCTTTCTCTCCTGTGCATTACTCCACCCTACCAATGAAAGATCCCCCATCAAGTAAACCTTGGTAAAAGATAATACAAAGTCCTCAGAACTAAGAGTCAAGAGAAAAGACATCCAATATGGAGGACATCTAGGTGTCAAATCCACTGAAAGCACCATACAATAATAACAGATAAAAGAAGAATACCATTACAATTCAAAACAAGATCAAGATTTGTTTTGTTGAAACAAAATGAAATTAGAAGCATTATTTAACAATTAAAAATGTAACAAAAGGTCCTAAGGAAAGCAGGAGAGCTAGCGTGGTGTAGTGGTGTGAGAGTACAACTTGGGACTCTAGAGATGGGGGTTTGATTACCTGCTCAGCCATGGAAACCCATCGGATGACTTTGGACTTTGATAGGTTCACCTTAGGGTGTCCATAAGTTGGAAATGACTTGAAGGCAGACAACAACAACAAGGAAAGTAGAGCACCTAATTGGTACAACCCCTGCCCTCAGCACCCAGTGAATTGCATATATATATATATATATATATATATATATATATATATATATATATATATATATATATATATGTCAGAAAAGCAGAAGGATAACAAAGAAGAAACCAGCCTTGCTTTCCTCGGTAAGGGCTTTTGGAAGCTAGGAAGCTGGACTAATTCTCCACCAAATTTTCTTCTAAAGAAAATTAAGAAGAAGGACTACTTCTGTTGAAATTCTCCCTGCCATTCCCTAGCTGGTATTCACCATAGCTAAGTGTTGTTACATCAGCATATATATTACAATGAACTGCAGATGATGCTTATCATAGTTCCATTTTAGCCAGGATTTTAAAAATGCAGATTTTAATCTAGTTTGCAAACTCCAGTAAGCCTTAACTGCATTTAATATTTTAAAAATATAGGGTTTAATCTAGTTAGAAAACTCTAGTTAGCATTAACTGCATTTAATATTAGTGTTATCAATGTACACGTAAACATGGTTAAGCCCAGTGAGAAGGAAAGTATGGATGATAGAGATGAGGGACTGCTAGAGACAGAACTCATGGTCTCATGCATTGATACACCTAGATATGAACATCCAACCATATGAACCATGCACACTGCACTTGGATTGCGTACTGATCCAGAAAGAGGACCGTATACAACCTTGATTCCAAAATAGCTTCACTGAAGCCAAAGAAACCACTTTAGATCCTTTTGCTTGAAGAAGGCCTGCCTTACAGCACAGCCTTCCATTCTTACATTGAAATTCCTGGAAAACAAATTATCAGTTGGAATAGTTGGAATCCACTGGAATCCACTAGTCAATAATAATAATAACAAATCTTTATTTTAGATCTGCAAAATACACTTTGTAACTTACATCTGTGATCATTTTCCCTCTAGTTTTGTTTCTTTCTCTGTGGTTGGCTCGCTTCTGCTTCTGCTGCAAAACCCGTTCCCTAGTGGTGCGATACTCCAGAGCAAATTCACTAATAATTTTGCAGAACTTATTGATGTTAACTTCACGGATTGCATAAGGAGGATAACCCATAAATAACAAGAAAGAGTGGAACCTAGGAAAGCAGAATAAATTAGTTATCTGAAACACCTGCAATTTTGAGTGTCTTTAAAGAATACAATATGATGTAGGAACACATTTTTACTAGGTCTATGGAAAATCCAAGCTCTAAGTTTAATAGACTCCCTCCCCCAGTAGCACAGAATTGGTCAGGGAAGGATAAACTGAATAATTATTTTGGAACTGTGAACTCATAAAAGGCTTTCTATGACCTGTTTTATCAAAGATCTTTTAACTATGATTTTCAGAGCTTATAATTGAAAACAGGATGATAACAAAAGAGAACTCTTTAATAAGGTCATCTAACTCTACTTTCACACACTGTTGCATACAAGGTAGAATAGTTAATGAAATCATGTTTTACCATTAATAGAGTAATGAATGAAATACATCATGTTTGGATAATGGATACTGAACAATATAGTTATTATATTTAAATTTCCTGTTTGAATGAATTACCATATATATGTGTATAAGTTGAGAAATTTAGGTCAAAAATTGACCCAAAAACTGGGTTGACATGCATGGGTCAATAGGGTACTTCATTCTGAGTTTTTCCCCAGCCGGGCTGCCTCTGTGGGGGAAAGCCCAGCTGGGGAGGGGCTGAGAAGGGCAATTGATTGCCCCACAGTTTGTCCCCAGCAGGGCTGCCTATGCAGGGGACAGCCCAACTCAGAAGAGGCTGGGAAGGGTGATCGATGCAGCTTCTCTTCAGCCAGGCTGCGTCCTTAAAAGTCTGACTCTTGACTTATCCATGGATCATATAAAAATCCACAACTTTGGCCCCAGAAGTTGACCTTGACTTTTACAGGAGGTCAACTTATAATCGAATATATATGATAGTCCAACTTCAAAGATCTTTAGAAAAGTCTAGACAAGAATAATTTACAGGCAAACCATGAGAATAAAAAAAATATTCACAAAGGAATGAATGAAATCCAGGATTTAGGAAGTAATAGAATCCAGGACTGTAAATTCAGATTGGCAATCATCAGGAACAGGACCTACTTGATGGTAGTCCATGGTAAATGCTGTCCTGACTGATAATTGTACATTTACTAATTTAGGTCTTCAGGCAAGCTTTAAAGACTCCTATTCCAAGTTAACAAATGTGTCTCTTAACAAAAGATATCATGGCACTGCTTATTCAAATGATGACGAAATGATTTTAAAGTGTTTTACACTATAATAGTAAAATGCTGGGTTGTTGCTATCTGTAAATGCATTATATTATTGCTTAACTACTTCTTTCTAATAAATTGTGCATTTGTATGTTTTTTGAAAATGATAATATGTTGTTCATATTGTATGGCAAAAGAAAGATGCCTCAAGAGAATTTTACCCTAAAAGCAACCAAAACAATACATTTATTAGAGCTGGAATAATTAGATTTTTTTTAAAAATGTTTTTTTTAGATGAAGTAGTTTAGTTTTGCAAGTCCAGGTATCAGCTTATCCAAAGGTGTGGTTCATTCTACTGTCACTAAAATTAATGGAAAACTTCATCTGAATGTCTTGAAACAACAGAATGTTAGGAGAGATGCTTTAACAACACACAAATGACAGTATGTTTGGTAACCTACCTGTTAATTATTCTTCTGTGGACAATCTTTAATATTATTATTCTTTCTGCACAGTCCTTAAGGAAT